CGAGGCGCGAAGAAGGGGCGCGAGGCGCGAAGAAGGGGCGCGAGGCGGGGGAGCGGGCGGGAAGACGAGGCGCGGCGGAGAGCATGAAGTGATGGAGCGGCCCGGTGACGCCGTCCCTGACTGTGAGCGTCACGGCCGGGACGACGAGGCAGCGGGCCAGCCGTGCCCCAGGAGGAGGGAAGCGGTAACCTCGGCTGGAGGGATGCTCGGAACTCAGCGCCTCGTCCGGCCGCGTGGCTTGTTTTTGTTAAGCTCTGACCTCTTTCCCGAAAAAGCAATGAGGTGAGGAAACGGGAATGCGAGTTGGTAGCTCAGAGTTCCTCAAGGGAACGGTGCTCGAGAGAGGAAGTTAACGGAGGCACCTGTACGCATTTGGGGCTAACCTGCAGCAAGACTTTCGGTAGAGATTAATGAACTTCGAATCGTGCAGCCCGAGGCATGTAATCCCTGTCAAAACGTGTTTTAGAGCGTTGCATCAATACGTTTTCGTAACAGCTGCAGGAAATACAAGTTAAGGCCCACGTATTTTCTATAGAAAGCAAGGAATTCCTGTTGGCCCCACACCTTTTGGTGCTGGGGTCCCCTGTCATGGCGTGAACCAGCGAGGGGACCCACACTGTGTGGGAAGGCGGGCATCCACATGGCAAACCCCCTTCTTCCACAGCACCACTCTGGAAGTGTTTTCATCGTTCTTGACTCAACACAAAGGTCAAGAATTGCCACTTAACGGTCGCGGGAATCAAAGCAACAGTGCTTGTGGAGGTTTTGTTTCCTTGTTTTTTTGTTGCTATCAATTTCTGTTGTTGGATCTGTTGTTTAGTTCTTACACATAGAATACATTCAAGGGCAGCAATTTACTGTTAAGAGCAGAGTTATCGTGTAGGAATAAACATGAAGTATAGAAATCAACACCAGGCAGCTTTTTAGATCGGTAACTCCTAGGTAATTACCAGCATAGATGCAAATTACGTAAGTTAATTAGTCTGGCTGCCTTTTCCATTCACTCTTAAACTCAATAAAGAACCTGCAAAACGCATACAGGGAATTGAGACAAATTAGTAGTGCGTTAATCTACTCTAGAGATTATTATAAGGCTTCTGAAATTTTCCATCAGTTCAGTTCTCCCTCAGAAGGGAAACAAACTCTAACATGTTATATGCTTTCAGGTGCACATGCAAACTAAAGGACTGCAAAATAGTTGCAAAGGATCATTGCATACAAAGAGGCAACTGTGGTAGAGACGCATCTCATGCATTTCAAAAGATGAATAGACATATTAAGATCAGTGAAGGAAGGAAAATGAAGGAAAACAGAAAACCTTTGGAGGGAATTTATCTGTGAATTATGTCCTGGCTAACAAAATAGCCAGGAACTGTTTTCAGCATATGGAGAGGATAAACAATTTACTGAAATATATTACTAAGCCTGTCTCTACTGAAATACTAGAAGAGTAGAATGCATACTTAGCGAGTCTGAGAATGATGCATTTACTTGGTTTACAACTGATCCCCCAGTGCTCATTACACAACATCTAAAATAGTTTTTGTTGCTCTTGACAGCTATGCTCATGCACACCTCCTTGGCAACTTGCTGGAACTGACAACAGCATTGTATGCATTTCTTCGTCCACTCATGGCAGTAGAGAACAGTGACAGGAAGGATAAGAGGAAAGATAATCTATGAATTCCCTACAAAGATGGAAGAAAAAAAATTAAGGTACAGTTTACCCAGAACCATATTTTTGAGAAATAAAGGAAGGCTGCTCTATTCCATTTGATTTGTTAGCTGTGTTAGATAGAGGAAATACAAAGAACTGTTCTATGTATAACTTCTGAGGAGCAAGGCAACTTGTTTGCTGATATTGTAGGCAAAACTACAGATCATTTCAATGCCCGTGAGCATCTGTTTATATTGAGCTTTTCAAAACATATACCCAAGCCTGGCTTTTTATATATGTACCAATAAGTAATCAAACATATCCAGTACTCATTGTATTTTGATTAGATAAGCTCAGCTGCAGTCAGCTTATTTGATGAAATGTCAGAGTTTTGATGTAGCTATCAGAAATGTTTAAGTATGTGTGTAGTCACAGACTCCTTAACATATTCTATGTTTTCCAACATTAAGCTTCAGGAGATTTTCACTAGAACTTTAATTAACATCATTAGGTTATTCACAACAGCAAAGCAGAACACAATAGGCAAACTGATTATGTTTTGGCTACAGGAATACATTATCTTAAGCACTCTGAAGGTCATTCAGAAAATAACTAACAAGTATAGTTAAGGGGACTTTCTGAAGGGCAGGTTCTTCATCAGAGAAAATTAAAAGAAACACAGTTAGAAGTCAAGATTTTCTTAAGGCAACTGTGTTTAATTAAGTCAAGGTAGATTTTGTCCACAATTAATTTAAATAGTTCTGTAACATTCAAAACAATATGACTGTATACTTCAGAAATAGACATTTCCAAACTCCTTCTGCATGCAAATTTGTTTCTTTAAAAATGAGATTTTATAAACAAGAAAAAAAATAGTGCATGGGAAGCTTCTTATTTCTCCTGCCTCTGCTGTTTTTGACATTGCCTGCATTTGTTCAGATGAAAGAAACATAGAGCACATCTATTTTCGACTTATATTTGGTGCATACTCCATCAGGGGTGTAAAATGTTGTTTCTTTTTTCTCCTGCCATTTTTTCCCATCAAAAATAGCAACCTACGTGAATGAATGACAAAAATGAAAGGAGGAATAGAGAAAAATATATAGACATTGTAGAGAACATAGGTCTTGGTCTTAATTTTTAAATGGCATGGTTCATTTAAGAAGTTTCTGAGAAAAAAAAGAATGAAACACTAACAGTTTCTGTGGCCTAGGTTCCCCAAAACCTGAAGCAGACAAAATCATGTAATTACTGGAGCTGCCATTCTTGAGTATTGCAGAGAAATTAGGGAAGAATGAGGCATAGAAGACAAAAAAAAAAATGCACCTGAGAGAGCAAAATCACATTCATAAAAACACACTTGCAGTCCAGTACCTTCTATGAATCTGTTTTGTTGTTCTCATAATATAGTAGATGTCAATCATGCAAACAGTCATGAATAGGTGCAGACAGTGAGTAAAAACAAAGGAATCCATACTCATTTAGATCTGTATCAAGATCAAGGAGTCAATATTAATAGCTTGCATTGATTTACCAGAAAATAGTTACTGGAATAAACAAAGACTAAGGGATTGTACTAATTACACAACCTGAAAAGTTTCACCTCCCTGCTAAATGTTGCCTTACCCCTCAAAAAGGCCAGAGCTAGACTAAGCATTACTCTGCAGAAACACTGAATGAATAAGAAAGCAAACCAACCGTGCCTTATTTTTGTTTTTCATAGTAGAAGAAAAATTGCCAGAGAAAATTCTGCCCCAAGTCTCTTTATTTAACTTGCAGGCCTTTTAATATTGTCCTAGTGGTACAATATGTAACTTCACTCTTATTTGTCCTCTCTTCACTAGAGAACTGACAATTTCTAAGTCATAACGGTAAGCCACATTCCCACACTGGTCTGGGTGATATCCATAGGAGATAAAAAGCTCTGTCAATAAAGCAATGGACGAGTGCAGTGGCAAGTGTGACTTTTGTGTATCGCATTAGAGACAGCAACCGTCAAGAGGGCTGCATGACCAGGCAACATTGAAGTTGCCTTGTCTTCTATCAACTTAATAGTCTGGCTAACAAGATAATTACGCAGCTCATCAGAGCAGATGTTGATCTCTTGAAGGCAGTTCTGCACAGAGGATGCTACCTGAATTTTACATTTGTTTGACAATTGACCAAAACCTCTGGAAAGAATATTTGAGAACTTATGACAGAGGCTCATATACCTTGAAAGATCCGATACAGAGCTGGGTGGGAGCAAGGGGAGAACACAAGACAAGTATTTTATCTAGTTAGATTAACTGGGAATCAAGTCATACTTCAAAGACACGAAGGATTACTCCGTTAAAAATCCCAAGACTGCTTTTTTTCCTCTTAGATTCCCCTCACGCTCTCATCTGTGAAACATTTTCTATTGTGTATACATACAATAGCGTTTTTCCTCGCTATGTTGTATATGTTTTTCCTTCATTATTGGAAAAAAAAGTGCAGACAGACTATTGAGTTCTGTAGGTATCATAGGCTACTGAAGTTTATCCAGGTGTCTTCAACAGTTAAGTTGTTTAACTCCATTTATAGTCTGAGAAAAATAAAACATGTGAAATCATAGAAATAGGAAGCTGATAATTCTAAAGTTTGTGTGATGATAGTGACTAATTTACTGTTGACCAGTGTAAAGCTGAGCATGAAATCACCATCTACTAGCAATATATCTAAAGAGGAAGGTCTCTTTAGCAACCCCTCATAGAATTTCCACCCCAAGTGGATAAGTCTTTGCATATCTGAAGCTTTGTGGAAGTATTTTGTGTTTTTAAGGTCCTGTAGCCACTATTACAAAACACTTGCAAAACAAAGTTTTCTCATACACAGCTTCTCACAGACAATAGCTGATAATAGACCATGCAACTACAGAGGCAAGAGAGAAGTAAAGAAAACCAGTCAAGGCACTTTCTTTTTTCAGAACATTAGAACGAAGACACAATAGAGCATCTTCACTAAAACCAAAGGACTAATATGAAAAAAAAGTTAATTTGCAAAGAGCCAGAGTGCAGAAATACCTAGTTGTTTTCCTCTTGAGTTAATTATCCTTTCAAGAGCAGCAGAAAACTATTAAGAAATTATTTGAAATGCTGAACATAGAACAATAAGACCTAAAAACTGACTGTGTAATTAGCTTCTTTAAGAGAATAAAAAAAAATGATTGCTGTAGCATCTGTACTACCTATGGACATCAGTTTTCAAAACTGTCTAGCGTCTTAACAGATAGAAGAACATCACCTTGTAATTGAAATGAATTCTTGAGTCAGCATCTGCAAATAGAGACTTGGAACAAACTTCTCCAGATATTTGAATTAACTTCCATGTTTTCCTATAAGCTTCTATGGCATTATGCTTGAATTGCAGGAGTTAGAACAGAATATAAAATTACATCTTGACAGTTGATATTTGTGATTTATGAATATATTCCTAAGTTTAAGAGCTTTCATTGGACAGAAGGTCACATATTTCTCTGGCTATCAGACCATGAGAGCTTTCAGTTATTCCCTGCCAAGTAGGTAAAACTTTCCAGTCTTCTTGGTATGTATCTCACATAATTACCATTTTCTTCTTTTAACGGATAACAATCTGTTTCCCACTTTTGGATGAGAAACTGCTCATCTTATAAACAGCTTATAAATGTACTTTGACACTGCAGGTGAAAGTCATCTCATCTGTTATGCAGTTCTGCACTACAGAAAATAAAGGATTAGGCACAAGGAACATAAACAGTCTGTACAACATTAAAACACTCCTAAAAATCCACTCGTGACAGAAACCATATTGAACCTTCTTAACCACACGCATTGTCTGTCTTGTACTTGACAGTCTTAAAAACTAAACCTTGGTCTTTTACAGTCGTACCTTCAGCAGTCCTATACATTTGATTACTGTTACTTTTTTATAGTCACTTGGTCAGAGCTATCTACTTGCTTCAGATGGTGAGGTAAAAACTGGCTTCACCTGACAGAACGGCAGTTACAGTTCTGCGCTTAATGATGTTCTATATTGTATTGCTTTACAGAAGCACAGTAAGTTAAAAGAATAAACATTTCATCTAATTTTGACCACGTGTGTAACTAAAAACAACTGTTCCTTTAAGCTAACATGAAATCAGAAGAGAAAAAGGCCTAAGTGAGTTTTCACAAGATGCCATTTTACACTTACATGGAATTACAAGGAATGCAATGCTTTTCTTGAAACTTTAAGAATTTTTAAGAATTGCTATTGACAAGGCAGCATTATAATACTTAAATAAAAGTTTGTTTGAGATGAACTCTGACTTCATTCTCTACTCCTACATTCCCCTGGTGACTATTTAACATTAAGCACATTTCAAATGGAGCCTAAGCATCCCTTTGAAAGTAATAACCATTCTATTCCATGCTGGTTGATAATGTAACTATATTACTCAAACAAGTCACAGGTGCTTATAGTTTGAGTAAGGAGCACAGTTCACTGAACTATGGTAATGCAGCATTTTGTGGAAGAAAGCGTAATATAGTGTAGCTGTACCAAAACCTCAGGTAGCTGTAGCCAAATAGAAGGATAACCTGTTCTGAACATTTTGTAGCCTCACTTTTGCAAGGAGAGGGAAAAAATTTCCTTTTGATTTACTTGGATTTTTGACAATGATATTAGAAATAATTCAGTCATTGATTTTCTATGTCAGGATATTTCTCCAACTACCTTTTTCTTACTAGCTATTACCTAGCCAGTATATTTCCTTTTTGCATCCCAACACCTTCTGGTATCAGTTACCAAATTGATCCTTACATGTGAGAAACAAACAGTTCAGATTTCTACATGACTGGAGTCAATTTCTAAACGTCTAGGTAACTGATTCATTCCATCTTTGTCAGTAAACAAGAAATAGCATGTTAAATTTGTCCAAGAAACAGCACATGGAATTTGTTCAAGCTAAATATCTCAGCCAACTGAACTATCTGATCCAAAACTGGGAAGAAGGTCACCTACAAACAGTATTTACTTTGCTACCAATCTAATTCCTAGCTGTCACTTAAATTTTTTAATG